AGCACCTCGCCCGAGCGGCCGTCGCACGCCACCGCCTCTGGCACGAGGTCGCACGCCCATGCTGTCGGAGCCCCCCCGATCACGCACGGACGCCGCGAACGGCCGCTGCCGCTCGCAGCCCTCGCCGTCGAGACCCAGATAGGCAGGTTCGCTGACGTCCACGGGCGCTACGAGGTTGACCACCCTGGGCGCCTTCGACAGTGGCTCGCCGCCCGCGGGAGCTGCCGGTCGACTCCTCGAGTCTACGCCCACCCCCGCGGAGTCGCCAGCGGCCGCTCTCAGCAGGAGGTGGCTGGGACGAACTCGCATATACCTGCTGCCGCTGCCGCAGCCAGCTCCATCTCTGGGGATGCTACGGCGTCGCCCGGCATCGATCGGACCGCTGCCCGCTGGCACGCCTCGTCCAAGAGCTTCCGCTCCACGCGCATCCTGCACCCATGAGAGCGCGCCGCCCCGCCCCCCCGGCACCTCGGACATTTCGAGGCGGGCCCGTAGGTCTGCACCACCCTCTTCGCCACGTAGGTGGCCCGTCCGAGCCTCGGCTCGGGTAGGAGTGCCGGCGGAGCGCCCAGAGGTCCTGGAGGTGGTCGCGCTGGTTCTTCCGCCGCTGGATATGCTGCTGCTGCGCCGCCGCTGCTTGCCGATGGACGCGCCTCCTCGGCCCGGCGCTGCCGCGCCTGCGCCCGCCGCGCTCGCGCCACGTTGTCTCCGTGATGAGGCTCGGCGCCGCCCCAGGGCTGCCCTGCAGCAGTGTCTGCCCGCTTGGGTTTGGACTGGAGGTCCCAAGGCAGGCCCGCGAAGCTGTTCAGCACGTCCACGTCGAACTTCCGCCCCTTCGGCTGCCTCCCGATCGCCCGATGCCGACCAATCTGCCGCGACCCGCCGACCAAGTGCTCGTCGCTCTTCTCGTTCTTGCCCAGCCAGACACCCAAACGCCATAGACCCTCTGCCTCCTGCGCGCGGTCGCCTGGCACGCGTGCCCAGACAACCTCTCCGAGCGCGGCCACCTCCGCGCGGCTTGCCTCGACCGACGCGACGGGCCGTCTTGCCGGCGGCCTGCCTGACAGCAAACCGCGCGAGGAGCCATCCAGCGCGCCAAGCCACCCGCGGCATCACCCTGTGGAACACGGGGATGCGCGCGCCCATGCCTGACTCGAGCTGGAGCTTGATCACGCGCACCTGCTTAGCCACCTGGTCGCTCATTACCTCGATGAAATCCATCGACGCGCGGCCCCTGGCAGGCCCTGCCGCGAGCTGGCACTCGAAGCCCTTCAGCTTCCGCCCCTCGGAGGTCTGCTCGGCCAGCGCCTGGGCTGCTGGCCCCTAGTCGGCGCGCAGATTGCACTCCGCGATGCCCCGGGCGTCGACGGCCGCACTCGCCGCAATGGACATGAAGGGGCGCGCGCCCTTCGGCCCCAGGACCGCGCGCGCCGCGGCCATCTGGCGGCGCGTCACCGCCAGCGCGTTGAGCACCACCTCCACGCCGTCGTCACCGACTGCTGCGGCATCAGGACGGCCCGGTCGATCTGCCGATCCGCTGGAGCCAACCAAGCCATGCTGTCAACTAAGGCCGACAGCCCCTCAGCTGCGACCACGGCGCCGAGTTGCAGGTTGTCCATCTGCACCCCGTCGGTGCTGCCAGGCCCGCCGCCCTGTCGGCGCGGGTCGTCTGCCGCCTTGGCGGGCGCGCACTGGTCGCGCCAACCTCGCGGTGGGAGGTGAGCGAGCTCGTGCTTGTCGATCTCCTCCTGGCCGGGGAGCGGCGGCGCCCGCTTCGCCCTCGCTGGCGCCCCGTTGGGCCCCGCCTCTGCCAGCGGCGCCTCCTCGCGCTGCGGCTGCTCGGCCGCCGCGGGAGCTGCCGCCGCGGGCGCCTCGGCCCCGACTGGGTTGAGCCGCGGCGTCTCGGACGCCGTGGCGGTGCCTCCTGCGACGCGCCCTCGCATCCAGAACAGGTTGCCCTGGTTGGCGGCGCCCCCAGGCAGGCTGGGCGCCGCGGGCGCGATGTACGAGCCCGTCGGTGAGAACAGCGCTGAGTGGCCGTTGTCGCACGCCTCGGCTACCCTATGATGGGACGCGAGACGTCGGGGACCTGGCAGTCGATGCCCACTCCGCGCGCGTCTAAGCTGTCCAGCAGGCTGCACTGCACGCCCTTCTCGCCGCGGTGCCTCGCGCGCCTGTCGTCTGCAGCGCGGATGTCGTGGACCTGCGTAGGCCCCCGCATCGCCACGCCCCGGGCGCGACTGAGTGGGCACGTCGCTCTGGGGGCCCCCGAGTCCACCATGATGCACTCCTCGTAGCTCTCGTCGTCGCCTCCTGAGCCGCCGCCCACTGGAGCTTGCAGCATCGAGATCTGACTCACTGGATCCGCGGCCTGGGCCGCCAGGCGCAGCACCCACTGGATGGCGGACGCGGCGTCTCCCGCGGCCCCGCCGCCCGCTGAGCCGGCGCTGCCGCCGCTCGGAGCGGCCGCCGAGCTCGCCGTGGATAGCTGCACGGCGTTGGTCCGCGCCTGGGCAATGCTGCTCGGCGCCGCGGAAGGCGCGCTCGATGCTGTTGAGCTCGTCGCAGGCGTAAGTAGCTGGACCAAGTTTAACACGTTCTTCAACTCGATCGTCTGGCTGGCTGCGCTGTTCACTCTCGTAGTCTGGTCAGGGCAATCTCTCGCCAGCCGGCCCTTCTGATGGCACCTCCTGCACGTCCGTGTCTCGACGCGCTGCCCATCATTGCCATATCTGCCCTTGCCGTCCTTCTGCGCTTGGTGCTGCGATCGGGAGTCCCTCTGTCCGTCGTAGAGCATCCCGCATCCCTTCTTGCCGCCGCCTCTTCCTTTGCTCCCCCCCTTCCTCTTGCCCTCGCCCTCCTTGATGGCGTTGACGACCGCCGTCACCTCGGCTGGCGCGATCCCTCCCGATGCCAACGTCGTCGCCAGGGACCCGATGCCCATCGGTGCTGGTCCGCTGTCGCCCGCCGCGGTGGCCCCCGCTGCGGCGTCTCTTGCAGCGCCCTTGATCGTCTTCCTGATCGTCAGGTACGCCTGCACGCGCGTTGCGATCCCGTCGCGGCCCCCGAGGCGGTCGGCGTTGACCATCAGCCACTGCTGAAGGCCCCTGCCCTGGATCCCCGCCATGAAGATCGCCGCCTTGCCGTCGCCGGGCACCGCGCTGCCGCGCCGCTCGCGCGCCCGGACCGCCACGTCGAACTCGTCCACGTCCGTCTCGATCGTCGCCGCTCCGAACGCCCACCCAATCAGCTTCCTCATCCGCCCTAGACCCGACGCCAGCTGGTCGGGCTCGAACTCCTTCGCGAGCTTGCGCCACACCAGCAGTCCTTCGCCCTTTGGAATCGGCCGCTGCATGGCAAGCGCCTTGCCTTCGAGGAGCAGCACGAGCACGCGGCGCTGCTGCCGAGACGCACCGACGAGCGCTGGGATCATCAGGTCCAACGCCTCGTTGGCGACGTCTTCTTCGGCCTTCTGCCCGACTGCGATCATCTCCTGATGCAGCTCGTCGCCCAGCGTCGCGATGCACGCCGGCGGTTTAAACGACCACACGGGCCACGCGGCCTCGCAGCCCCTTGAATTGGGCTGGCTTCGTCAGCAGCTTCGCGCCGATGGCGCCCCATTTCCAACGACCCTCGCTCGCCGCCGGCACTGCGCTCGGCGCCGTGGCGCCCCCCGCGGCGGTCAGCTGCTGGAGCGCCTGCTGAAGCTGCTGAAGCTGAACATTATGCTGTCTGGCTGTCGTCTCTGCTCGCGCCTCGAGCTTCCGGGCTCGCCCTTCTGCAGCTTCCGCTCGAGCCGTCGCCGTCCGCAGCGCGCCCGGAACCTGCCGGGCCGTCGGCGGCTGCTGCTGCGGCAAGGCCCCTGCTGCTGCTGCGGCCGCGGCTGCGGGGTCGCCCGCTGCCTGCTGCGCCGCTGCTGCTCGCAGCTCCTCCTCCACCCCTGAACCTCCACGCTGCGAAGGCCGCGCAGGCCTCGCTCTCGTGGGGTACGAAGGAATTGCCGTCCTCGCCCGCGATGTCGAGCGGCCACGCGTGACCATGCTCATTGTCGAAGACGACGTCCCCGAACACGCGGTGCGCGAACGTTGGCAGGTCGAGCTCACGCCCGAAGATATTCTCGACGAGGCTCAGCGCCGACTCCGCCTGCAGACGTCTCCGCGTCGCTGCCAGGCGGCGTCCTCCGACCGCCGCCGCCCGCGCTGCTAATTATGTTTCTTCCGCCCCGTCGCTGCCGCGCCCGCCGAGGCTCGAGCCTCGGCCTGCACGGGGTCTGGGCTGCCTTCCGCGCGCCTTCCGCGGTGTTTCCCGCTGAGCCGCCAGGCCGAGCTGCTGCCTTCCGCAGCCCGCGGACGTCCCCGCTGGGCTGCTAAGCTGGGCGGCCGCCCTCCGCAGCCCGCGGAGGTCCCCGCCGGGCTGCTAGGCTGCCCTCCGCAGCCCGCGGCGCTTCCCGCTGGGCTGCTGGGCCGCACCTCCGACGCAGAACCCGTGGATCTCAGGCCACGGGCTCCGCTGCCATGCACGGCACCCCCCGCGGAGCCGCGTACCTTTTCAAGCCGAGAGGGCTGCGGTCCAGCACATCGCAACATTATCCTCATACCTCTGTCACATGGCCATATCAATAGTCCACCAAATCGCCGTGGATAGCAAGGAGTAGAGCTAGAGCTGGCCACCAACGGCCAGCTCCGCTACCACATTTAAAGTGAGGCGGGAGACCCAACCAAACACTACGCCTTAGGCGTGGTATCCGTCCAACCCTGCTGTATCGTATTAGCAATAGAACAAAAGGTAGGATATGGCCGCGTGAGCAGCAAAAAGGACTTCTCAAGGGATTGTTTTCCGTATCGATGTCAGATAGCGGGCCGCAGTGCGACCCTATCAATTGGGGGACGGTCGCTTGAGCCCAAGCGGCCGCGGACAAACGCTCGATACCTCTCGCCTTTGCCTTTCCTCCTTCCGAATGTTTTTATTCGATGTCCACGTGCGCATCGACCGTCCCAGGCCTCCTTGAGCGCCTCGTCCGAGTGCTGGGGGCCGTAGCCCAACATGCGCCTCTCGCAAAGGGAGGCGTTCAGCAGGGGCTCGAACGGCAGCTCGTGTGGGTCTGGCGCGTGGCCCTCCAGCGCGATGCGCTCCTGGGCCTCCCACCACGTCCAGTGGCTCCTCGTCCAGTAGCAGCCCTGCGCCTTCAGCCACGCCCAGCACCAGTTGCGCCCTGGATGCCCAGACATGCGATGTATTGATGGTTTCAACACGCGGTCTCCCAGAGGTCTCGACCAATTCCCCATGGCCAGCGTTGCATCCCGAGTCGTTTTCTGACAGTCCCCAGCGAGGGGCCCTGAGAGGCCGAAAACTGCAAAAAGTGGTCTGACGTTATTTTTCCATGACGCGAGCATGCCTGGGTACTCCTCTTGTACGTCCTCGTCGTCGGGGTGGTCGGCGAGGTTCTCGCAGCCCTTCCGCCACGCCTCCGGCAGGCCGAAGGGCCTGGGCCTCCGCTCCTCCGGCAGCGGGGCGGACCTGTTGCAGAAGAGCGGGCCGGTGGTGGTGGTGGTGGTGGTGGCGGTGGTCCTGGCCACAATAAGAGAGAGCTACATTCGGCACGTTCGTGTCGTGACGACTTCGGCGTTCGCTTTTAACATCGCGTGGGCTGTGTAACCCTGAACGATCGGCGGCTTTGCGGTCGCCAGATAGCTCGTTCAACCTGTGACGCCCGCGGTGCGGTCCTCGCCGAATCGACACGACACGAACCTACCGTATACATGAACTTTCGGAGGTCCGCTCGGATTTCATGGATCGGCGCCGGAACATCCTCCCTGGCGCACGGACCTCCGAAAGCTGTGGGGGGAACAAAACGGTACCGATACCGGTACTCCCTGGACATCTCTGGGGGGGCGTTCTGACCAGAATTTCGGGGCGAACCCAGCCGTGGCGACGAGGTACAGTTTCCATTCAATCCGCGGACCTAGATGTCTCGACCACTTGCCCGAGAGTAGTCGTTCATCCCACGTCCACTGTGGATGGCCCCAGGTCCCGCGAAAACGGCCCCCGAGAGCCGAAATCTGAAAAGAAAACGCCAATCGAAAAATCAGACCGTCGGAGATCAGGGAACCCCTGCCTTCTTCGATCCTCGTCGTCGACGAGCTCGTGTCGGAGGCGGGGCCTCCTGGGGCCGCCGACGCGCCAGCAGGAGCAGGATGGCCGCCGCCGCCGCCGCCGACCTCCAGGTGCGGCGCCGCCGCGCCGCCCGAGGAGTTCGCGCTGGGGCGATGCGCCCCTGGGGCGGGCGGCGCGTCCTCGCTCACGGGACAGCCATCCTCGCTCCTCGTTCCTCGCTCCTCGCTCCTGGATCCACGCTCCTGGCTCCACGCTCCTCCTCTCTCCTCCTCCCGATCTTCATCCTTCTCGCTCCTCGCTTCTCGCTCCTCGCTCCTCGCTCCTCCTCGCTCCTCGTTCCTCGCTCCTGGTTCCACGCTCCTCCTCGTCCTCCTCGTCCTCGTCCTCCTCCTCCTCCTCCTCCTCGCTCCTCCTCCTCCTCCTGCCTTTTCCATAACAAAAATCTCCCCGTCGCAGTGTGAGTCGGGCGTTTCGGCTCTGGCGTCCTCACCCTTTTATGATCCTGGAGCTCGAGATGTGCAACAGCATTAAAGATGGAAAGCGGCTTGTTTTCAATGTGTGGCTCTCGCCGTAGCGCCACACACATTCATCTTGAAAGTTTGCAACAGCTTCAAGGATGGAGGGCAGCTCTCTTTCAAAATAAGGGTCTCGCCTCAGCATCGCTCCTACTCATCTTAAGTAGCTGCAACAGCTTAAAGGATTCGTTTAGCTGACGTCACAGGAACCGAATTCTGGCACGATCTAGGACTGTCTGGACGCATCACTCACACCCATTCGCAGAATTCTAATTCCAGGAATGATGTTCTGGCACGAGGGTTATCAAGACGCAACAGCCACGTTAATTCGCGGCGCTGAAGTCCCAGGAAGTGTGTTTTGGCAAGACTCCAAATTCTCAGACGTTGTTGTCTTACGATGGGGTACTTCCCGCAAAAAAACAAAAACTAGATTGTAAGAACCTACAAAAAATTTGGAGGAGGGTCTATTGCAACATCGTTGATGCTTCGTGGGTTTGCATTGGTCCTCCTCCTCCTCCTCCTCCTCCTCCTCCTCCTGATCATCATCATCATCATCATCATCATCATCATCATCATCATCATCATCATCATCATCATCATCATCATCATCATCATCATCCATCTCTTACCCTTTGAAATAAATCCTCCTTGTCGCAGCACCAGATGTGTTGGTAGGGCTGGACGTTTCGCCTGAGACTTCCTCGCTACTTTCGATACTGAAGCTTGACATGCGCAACAGTTTCACGGATACAGGGCGGCTCGTTTGAAATGTGGCTCTCGCTTTGGCGCCGCGCACACTCGTCTCACAAGCCTGCAACAGCTTCGAGGAAGAAGGGCAGCTCCTTTTCAAAATGTGGCTCTCACATTAGCGCCGCGAACACTCGTCTTAAAAATTTGCAACAGCCTCAGGGATGCAAGGCGGTTCCTTTTCATAATGTTACTATCACCTCAGAGCCGTGCACACCCGTCTCAAAAGTCTGCAACAGCACCAAGGATGGAGGGCGGTGCATTCTAAAAATGTGCTTCGAGCCTTAGGGCCGCGCACATTCGCCTTGTAAGTTTAAAAACGTTTCTAGGATTCGTACGGTCGAAGTACCAGGAAATGTTCTCTGGCAACACTGAGCAATCGTCATGACGTAACGGTAGCGTTGGTTCGCGGACTTGACGTCTCAGGAACGGCGTTATGGCAGAAATTATGATTGTCAGGACGAAACAATGAAGTTGACTCGCAGCGTGATGTCCAATTCTTCTAGGAACCTAAGAAAAAGGAACTTCGAGAGAGGGTTTTACAGCAACAACGTTAATGCGCCTTTTGTTTATACTGGTCCTTCTCCTCCTCCTCTTCCTCCTCCTGCTTCTCCTCCTGCTCCTCCTCCTCCTCCTTCTCCTCTTCCTTCGCCCTCCTCGTCAGCCTCCTCCCCCTCCTCCTCCCCCTCCTCCTCCTCCTCCTCCTCCTCCTCCTCCTCCTCCCCCTCCTCCTCCTGCTGGCGCACGCGCCAGGTCCATGGCCACCGCCAGGGGGAATTGACCTGCGGGAACCTGAGTTGACGGTGGGAGTGCAGATGCCTTCCCCACCAACTGCCGAGGTCCCAGAAGATCGATCCTCCACGCGCTGGCTATGGATAAATCCCCGCCTCGGGCACGGGCCACGGGGCCGAGACGGGGGCGGGCTGCGCGTCCTCGCACAGGGACTGCCTTCCGAGAATCTCGAAGGATCCCTAAGATCCTGGCGCCGTAATTTTGCTGACACCGGGCGATTTTGCCCCGTTTTGGGCCCAGGACCCTCATGGACCGATCCGGCTCGAAAACTGCCGCAGAAAGATGGGGTCCAGGGCTCGGTTCGAGCTTTTTGTTACGGTGTTCCAGCTTGTTCGTGACGTCGTATCTCAGTGGATCGAACTTCGAGGCGAGCTGTTGTGCCGGTGGGGGCTTCTCTGGGCCTCTGGGAGGCCACTCGTGGCCACGGCTGGATCCGGCTCGGAATTCTGGCCCGAACGCGCCCCGTGATGGGTCCGGGCCTTCACTTTTGACCTCCCGACCCAGAATTCCTCGCGTCGAGCGAAGATCACGGCGGAAGGTTTCTGGCCATGTTCGGCCTCTGTGGGCCTTTGCTGGGCCCCAGGGCCGTCAAAAATTGCTCCAGATGATCGACGGAAATCTGGTCCCTGACAGAGGTCGGGACCCCCGGGAGTCGACGTGAGAAAATCGCGACATCCAAGGACAGAGGGTCATGATCTCTCTTCCCGACGCGAGCCCCCAATCCCAGGGGCCCGCTGCTCCTCCCGACTTGGTCCTGGCGACCGAGGAGGGCCCACAGAGGACCAGAATTTGGAAAAGCTGCGCAGCAGTTTCCCGAGCAACTAAAAAAGCCTGAGGGCGTCGTCGTGGCCGCCGTGGCCGCCGTGACCGCCGCCGCAGATTGTCGCAAGGTCCTCCTGGGTGTGGCCGGCCGCCCTGGCCGCTGGAGTCGGCATCCTGGTGCGCCAGTGCAGGAGCTCCTCCTGCTCCGCCTCCTGCCTGGCGGCGGCGACGAAGCTGCAGCCGTCGACGCGGCCGCCAGCAGCGGCGAGGGGAAAAAAACTTAACCTCCTGATACTCCTCCTTCTCCACTTCCTCCTCCTCATTCTCCAAGGATTCCCTCTGTAACCTTATCGATAATCGTGAGGATGCCCTGGGACTCTCAACGATTTGTCTGGAACGCGGATTATCTCATGTACCCTGCGGATTTCCTCAGGACTCCTGGGGAATCCGCCTGGAAACCTGAGGAATCCTTTCGAGAACCTACGGCTGGCTCAAGCGATCCGCAGAGAGCATGCAGACTCCAAATGAACTCGCAGAAGGTCCTGAAAATTTTCCTCCGGAAATCCTGGGGATTTCGTCGGAATACACAAAGGGGTACTCATCGCGCGCACTCCGCGGCGGACTCTGCCCCCAAATGCTCGAGGCGCCACCCATCGCGGTTCGCCGATGCGACACACTTTCCCGCGCGAACAACAACGCCTGCGCGCGCGCCCAGTCGCGCAGTGAGGCGCAGCACCGTGGCGGCGCCCATTCGCAAGCGAGACACCCCGCCAATCGCGGAGCGAGAACCCTGCCGATGCGACGCAGCTGCGCGACCGCGTGTGACGCGGCGCGCAAGCAGTGCCCAGCCGCGCCACGAGGCGGCGCCACCACCGTCGCGGAACGAGAAGTCCCCAACAAAAAAACAGCGTGCGACTCACACCTACGTGGAGTATGGAGCCTCCCTCCTTTTGGCGGGGGGCGCGTAGGGTTTTAGAGGCAAGAAATGGAGGTCACCCTCGGGCGCACGCGAGGCAGAGGTCGGGTGGCTGGGACACGGGCGGCGCGAGCACACACTTGAGCATTCCATTCCCCGCAGTCCTGCTGAGGGATTGGATGCGTGCGCGTGCTTCCTGGCAGGTCTCCCCCTCCTCCTCCTCCTCCTCCTCCTCCTCCCCCTCCTCCTCGTCCTCCTCGTCCTCCTCGTCCTCCTCGTCCTCCTCCTCCTCCTCCTCCTCCTCCTCCTCCTCCTCCTCCTCCACATCCTTGCCAATCCTCGGCTCGAGCGGCGCCGCTGGCCCCGCCGCGCGCCTCCCGCGCACCCCGACGTCGGCCGCGCGCCCACACGCACCAAGCCGCCTGTGGCCGTCGGCCACGGGTGGAGGCTGGGGAAAGACAGCGACCCCATCTCGGGGACCCGGGCTGCCACCAAGCTGGCGCGCGAGCCACATGCTGCCATGTCGCCGCGCGGCTTGGCAGCCTGGCGCGGCGACGCCGAGCGGCTGATGCTGCCAGCGGCGTGGCAGCGGGACCGGCTCCCGTGAGGGAGCTCGCCCGTTCGAGGCTGCAGAGTGGCTGGATCCAAGAGCCATCGATGACATCGGCACGAAGGCGACGCCGCCTGCTGCGCGCGAACCCTCGGCGGCTGCGGCGCCCCCCCAGGGGCGCCAGCGGCCGCGCGGGTGCGCATGGCGAGGCGGCGCAGGGCCCCCGAGTGACGCGCTGGGGCTAATCGACGACGACGACACCGAGCAGCAAGGCGAAAGCGACGCCAGAGCGGCGGCTGCATGCGCGAGGGGCGGTGGGCGGCGGCTTCGGCCACGGGGCCGCGCGAGCGCGGGACGCGCGTGTGGCGGGACGCACGGGAGGCGCGGGAGCGCTAAACGCGCTGGACGCGGTGAGGGCGCCTCGGGACTCGCCTGCCAGAGAGGCGCGGGATGGAACCGGCGGACCCGCGTGCGACGCGCAGCGGGACGCGCGCGCAGAACGCTGGCCGCGGAGGCGGCGGCCGCGGGAGCGGCGGCCGCGGGAGCGGCGGCGGCGGACGCAGGAGCTGCGGCGGCCACGCTGACGGGCACGGCGGCGCGCGCAGCGCGCACCAAAGAGTAAAGCACCAAAAAGCACGGCCTCATCCTCCTCCGCCTCCTCCTCCTCATCATCATCATCATCATCATCACCACCAGCATCAGCATCAGCATCAGCATCAGCATCATCATCGTCATCATCATCATCATCATCATCATCATCATCATCATCATCAGCAGCAGCAGCATCACCACCACCACCACCATCATCAACATCATTAGCATCAGCATCAGCATCCGCATCAGCATCAGCATCACCATCATCAGCAGCAGCATCAGCAGCATCATCAGCATCATCATCGGCATCATCAGCATCAGCATCATCATCGTCATCATCGTCATCATTAGAATCATCATACTCAGCATCAACACCATCAACATTGTCGACAACATCAGCAGCAGCAGCATCTGCGCATCATCATCATCATCATCATCATCATCACCATCAGCATCATCATAAGCATCAACATCGTTATCATCAGCACCGTCATGAGCATCGTCAGCAGCATCATCATCAGCATCATCAGCATGATCAGCTCTTTCTTATGCATCATCATCATCATCATCATCATCATCATCATCATCATCATCACCTTCTTCTTCCATGCCAGTACAATCGCAAGCGATTCGGCCACAAACGCATGTACCTTCAGCTGGGCCTGTCATGCAACACGTGAAATACAAACTACCAAACTTCGCACGCACATGCGAACGGATAGCTAACTTCAACACATGCCTAAGACCTCAAGGACGGGAAACATGGAGAAATCGGGCGTCGTGTCATCATCATCGTCATCGCACATCGTCATCATCATCATCGTCATCAGCATCATCAGCATCATCAGCATCGTCATGCTCACGATCATGTTGATCATCATCATCATCATCATCATCATCATCATCATCATAGTCATCATAAGCATCATCATCATCAGCATCATCATCATCATCATCATCATCATCATCAGTATCAGCATCATCATCATCATCATCATCATCATCATCATCGTAATCGCCATCACCGTTGTCACCATCATCACCATCAGTATCGTCATGATCCGCAGCATCATCAGTATCATCAACATTATCATCAGCATCATCAGCATCGTCATCATCAGCATCACCATCATCGAAATCAGCATCGGCGTCAGCATCATCATTAAAACCATCATCATCAGCAGCATCATCATTAGCATCATCATCGTCGTCGTCATCATCATCCTCGTCCTCATCCTCATCCTCGTCCGCTTCCTCGTCCTCATAACCATCATCAGCCGCAGCATCAACAACATCATCAACAACATCAGCTTCATCCGTGTCCTCATCCTCATCCTCGTCATCCCCTCATCCTCCTCATCATCACCATCATCATATCATCATCCTCATCTTCGTCATCACTATCATCCTCGTCCTCATCAGCATCATCATCATCATCAGTATCATCATCATCATCATCATCATCATCATCATCACCATCAGCAACAGCAGCGCGAGCGGCGCACCAGAGAGTAAAGCACCGAACAACTCCGCCGCAAATACCTCCTTCTCCGTATCCTCGTCCTCATCATCCGCATCCTCCTCCTCCTCCCCCTCCTGACCATTATCATCAGCAGCATCAGCAGCATCATCATCAGCATCATCATGAGCATCATCATCATCAGCATCAGCATCAGGAACAGCATCAGCATCAGCACCAGCATCAGCATCATCATCAGCATCAGCATCATCGTCATGATCATCAGCATCATCATCACCAGCATCGTCATTATCAGCAGCAGCAGTATCACCCACTGTATCCTACTCCTCCTCCTCCTCCTCCAAAGCGCCACCACCAACCGCCAGCACCACCACCATCACCATCAGCATTATCATCATCCGCATCATCACCATCACCATCACCATCACAACCATCACAATCTGCATGAAAACCATAATGAGCACCCTCGTCAGCATCATCAGCACCAGCATCAAGGGTACCATCATCAGCAGCATCAGAATCATCGTCAACAGCATCATCATCATCAACACCATCATCATCAGCATCATCAGTATCATCATAGTCATCAGCATGGTCATCATCTTCATCCTGATCCTGATCCTCATCCTCATCATCATAGTCATCATCAGCATCATCATCACCATCGTCATCATCACCATCGTCATCACCAACCTCGTAATAGGCATAAGCGGCATCTTTTGTTCAGCAGCATCACCAACGGTATCAGCATCAGCAGCATCAGCATTATCATCATCAGCACAGTCACCATCCTCAGCAGCAGCAACATCATCCGCATCATAATCATCATCATCACCATTACCATCATCATCAGCAGCATCATCATCAGCATCACCACAGTATCACCAGCATCTTCAGTATCATCAACATCCTCATCATCGTCATCCTCATCCTCAGCCGCATCATCAATATCCTCATCCTCATCATCCGCATCAGCAGCATCATCATCATCATCATCATCAAAACCACCATCATCATCACCATCTTTATCGCAAGCAGCAGCAGCATCACCCATGCTCATCCTCCTCGTCGTCATCGGCATAGTCCTCAACACCGTCATCAGGTTAGCATCACCCTCTTCACCACCATGCTGAATCATCATCAGCAGATCACCATGTTCACCATAATCGATACAAGTATCACCATTATCATCAGCATCACCATCATCAGCAGCACCATCAGTACCATCAGCAGCATCATCAGCATCATCATCAGCGGCATCATCATTATCATCAACATCATCATCACCACCATCACGATCACTCTCACCATCACCGTCATCAGTACCAGCATCATCATAATCAGCATCATCATCATCATCATCATCATCATCATCATCATCATCATCAATAACATCATCATCACCAACATCAGTCTCATCAGCATGATCATCATCATCAGCATCATCATCAGCATCATCAATGTCATCATCAGCATCATCATCAACATCATCATCCGCATCAGCGTCAGCATCAGCATAAGAATCAGCATCATCATCAGCATCATCTTCATCATCTCTCAAACTCCGTGCAGCCCACAGCGAACGTGAGGACAGAAGGCCCTGAAAAACAGCAAGGGGAGGTCGTCGTCACAGTGGCCGCCATCGCCGCCGTGGTCGCTGCCGCCACCGATGCCGCCAATGGGGGAACGAAAAAAAATCCAATACCGCTACACTACGGATCTCTGGATGCCTCCTGGCCAGAATTTCCATGAGAATCCAGACCGCCGGCGCGGCCGCCGTTGCCGCCGTGGCCGCCGCCGCTGTCAGCGACGGCGTCGGCGTCGCCTCCGCAGCAGCAGGTTCTCTAGGTCCGCCACGCCCGCGCCAGGGACCTCGGCGAGCGAGTTGTTGGCCGTCCGCGGCGCAGCCTCTGCGGCGGCGCGGAAGGTGGCGGCGGCAGCGGCGACGACAGCTGTATCAACGCCAGCCTCCATCCTCCCTGTTCCTCCTGAGGGGCAACGCTGGGGGGGGGGGGGGCAGACTCAGGGGGGGAGCATCGAACTGGAATCTTCGATACATCGCCAGTAGATCCGCGACAGGGCCCCGATGGCGAATTCGCACGTTCCTGGGCGGCGTAGGGCCCAGATCGGCGATAAATGGGCGATTGGGGGTCGATGCGTTCCCCCCCTAAGAATGGCCCCTCCTGACGTTGCCATGACCTCCACTCTCCCACCTCACACCTCATACCTCCTCCTCCTCCGCCCCTCCTCCTCCTCCCCCTCCTCCTCCTCCTCCTCCGCCTCCTCCTCCTCCCCCTCCTCCGCCTCCGCCTCCTCCTCCTCCGCCTCCGCCTCCTCCTCTCCTCCTCCTCCTCCTCCTCCTCCTCCTCCTTCCTCCTTCCTCCTTCCTCCTTCCTCCTTCCTCCTCCTCCCCGCCTCCTCCTCCTCCTCCTCCTTTTCCTCCTCCTCCTCTTCTTCACGGCGATCGTCGACAGAGCTGGGCGCGGCCCAGAAGACAGAACGGTAGCGCCCAGCAGGGGGCCCCCTGGACAAGCTTCTGTCTGAGCGGGTTCTGGGCTGGGAGAACCACCAGTTGCGGAGGAGGCGACGACGACGACCGCCCTTCAACCCCGAAGCCTGGCGAGGGCGCCAGGAGACCGAAGACACCAAAAAAACCTCCGTCATGACTCTTCCATGCAGAGAGATAGTCAGGATTCATTCGGTTTAGGGGGGCACAACTCGGCCCACTGGCGGCCGATCCAGAGAATTCTGGCACCCCAAGGGCGCACTCGACAGGGCGCAAGTGTGGCAGAACCGCCCCGGGTCTGGAAACTTCCGAAAACTGTGGAAACCCGACCGGGAATTTCTGAGAAAGTAACGCTCCCCCTGCTCGCGCGAACGAGCGCCCGCGCGCACGGGGCGCAGCTTTGTAGGGCCCCAGGCCTCAGTGGCCTCGCTCCCGTTGCTGGCGGCCTGGCACGCCACCTCTCGGCGGCGCGCACGGAGGGGGCGGCACCGACGGGGGTGTGGCCCTGTGAAGAGGGCGGGGGGCTCTTTCGAGGAGGTCTCTGATCAAGGCTTTCCTCGAGACCCGGCGGCGCCGAGGGGGGCGACCCCCTGAAGAGGAGGGCGGGGGGGCGTCTTAGAAGCGGCGAGAGCCCCCAGAAAAGTAGGGCAAAGGGCATCTCAGAAGCGGCAAGGGCCCCCAGAAACTATAAAAGCCTGATGTCGCGATTTTTCACGACGGGCGGAGATGCAATGTTTCGGACCCCGGAGCGTCACGGAGAGACCCAGCTCGATCAATACCCCAGATGGTGCCCACGGCCTCGGCCGAGTTTTCACGACGCCAATTTTTGGATCGTGGCGTCGATCCTTGGGATCCACGAAACCCCAGCTCGAAGCCTCACGATGGGGGGGTCGAGGGGTGGCGGCCGCCTCGAGAGCGCCTGGGGGGGGCTTCTCAGAAACGACGAGGGCCTCCCGAGAGGCCCTCCCCACAAATCCGGGCGACGCAAGATGGCGGCCGCCGGCTTTTGACGTCTCCACCGGTTGAGAACACACACACACACACACACACACACAAACACACACACACATATAAAAATATGGATATACAAACAAATATACAAACACACATACATACACCAACACATACATACATACATACATACGTACATACATACATACTTACACATACATATCCATATACAAATACATATGCATATGCATATGCATATACATATACATATACATATACATATAAATATACATATACCTATACCTATACATATACATATACATATACATATACATATACATAGACATAGACATACACATAGACATACACATATACATATACATATACATATACATATACATATACATATACATATACATATACATATACCTATATATACATTTACATATACACATACACATACATATACACATAAATATACATATACAAACACATCTACATATACATAGACATATACATATGCATAGTCATATATATGTATATACAAATGCATAAACATAAACATAAACATAACCATATACGTATAACCATAAACATAAACATAAATATAAACATCAACGTATACATATACATATACATATACATAAACATATACATATACATATACGTATACATACGCATAATCATCCACATGAACACATACAGATGCACATACCTATACATACACATATGCAAATGCATGTACGTATACATACACCTATACATACACATATACATTTACATATACATATACATATACATATACATATACATATACAGATACATATACATACACATATGCATATACATATACCCAAACATATACATATACATATATATATATACATATACATATACATTTACATATACACTTACATAAACATACACATATACATATACATATACATATACACATACACATACATATACAAATACAAATACGTATACATTTACACATATAAAAAATATACATACACACATACATATACACATGCATGTACATATATATATAGAGACATATACATCTACATATACACGTACACATACATATACATATTTACACAAATACATGAATGTACTCATATACATATATACTTGCATACATACTTACAACCATACATATGTCCCACCCCACATGATCATATATATGTATATTATTCGCATTTGTTCCCCGCTCTCCGTCGCTCCTCCTCATCCTACTATCCCCCCTCAGCGGGGCAATGCAACCTCGGGCTGAGGGCCGCGGGGTATCGCAAAGCTTCTTAATGGGAACCCTTTGGAAAACACCACAGGGGGATCTTATTGAAATGGAAAGCGCCTCAAAAAGGAATTTTACTGGAAAGACTCGCAACTGAAATCGTTTGGAAAGCACCACAAAAGGATTTGATTGGAAAGCAAGAATCCTTTGGAAAGCACAACGAATGGATTCGATTGGAAAACCTCACAACAGAAATCCTTATTAAAGCACCGCAAAGTGGTGCTATTGGTTTGGAAAACGCCACAGGGATTCGATTGGAAAGCCTCACAACAGGAATCCTTTGGAAAGCGCAACTAGAGGATTCCATTGGAAAACCGCACACAGGAGTCTGTGGGAAAGGCACCACGAAGGGATTCCATTGGACTGCCTCACAACAGAAAACTTTTGGAAAACATCGCCAAGGGTTTGTATCAGAAGGCCTCACAACAGAAATCCGTAGGAAAGCACCGCAAAAGGAATTTCGATTGGATTGGAAATTGCCACAACGGGATTCGATTGGAAAGCCTCACAACAGGAATCCTTTGGAAAGCGCCACACAAGGAGTCGATTGGAAAGCCTCGCAACAGGAATCCTTCGGAAGGCGCCACAAAGGGATTCTATTGGATTGGACAGCGCAACAAAGGATTCGATCGGAAAGCCTCACAACAGGAATCTTCTGGAAAGCGCCACCCACACAACAGGACTCCTTTGGAAAGCACAACCAAAGGATCCCACTGGAAAGGCTCACAACAGGCATCCTTTGGAAAGCACCACAAAGGGAGTGTCTTGACTTGGAAAGCACAACAAGAGGACTTGCATTGGAAACCCTTTCGACAGGAATGAAAGAGCGCGTTCTGTGGTCGCTGGGACGGGGAGGGGTTGGAACCGCATCCCTCCCCCCCTGGACGGAGAGGGGTGGTTCGAACCCCCCCCCGCTTCCCCTCTCCTCGGGCCGGCGCTGCGCTTGGGTCGGCGGCGGCTGGCGACGGCGGCGGGGACGACGATTTCCATTTCTTGGCCGGCGCGGGCGCCTGCAGCGGCGGGCGGCGGTGGCGGGGAGCGTCGACGAGGACGACGGTGGTGGTGGTGGTGGTGGTGGTGGTGGTGGTGGTGGTGGTGGTGGTGGTGGTGGTGTGGTGGTGGTGGTGGTGGTGGTGTGGGTGGTGGTGTGGTGGCGGTGGCGGTGGTGTGGTGGTGGGTGGTTTTGTTGTGGTGGTGGTGGTGGTCGTGGCGGTGGGTGGTGGTGGTGGTGGTGGTTTGGTGGTGGTGTGGTGGTGGTTTGTGGTGGTGGTGGTGGTGGTGGTGGTGGTGGTGGTGGTGGGTTGTGGTGGTGGTTTGGTGGTAGTGTGGTGGTGGTGGTTTGTGGTGGTGGTGGTGGGTTGTGGTTGCGGCGGTGCTTTGTGGAGGTGGCGCTTGTGGTGGTGGTGGCGGTGGTGGTGGTGTGGTGGTTTGTGGTGGTGGTGGTGGGTTGTGCTGCTGGTAGTGGTGGTGGTTGTGGCGGTGGTGGTAGTGTGGTAGATTGTGGTGGTGGTGGTAGTGGTGGTAGGTTTTTGTGGTGGTGATGGTGATCATGGTGAGTTGTGGTGGGATGTCTTGGGGCTCCCCTGGGGCGTCTGGGGCACCGTGAAGACGAAGCAAGCGAGTATGCTGAAAATGCATGTTTTACAAATGAGCCGGTTTCTGACATCTTCAAGCCATCTCGGGCCAACTGGGGCCTCGCTGAGGCTGTCTTATGGGCCTCTCGGGCGTCCTGGGACGCCGGAAATCATGTTCCCGGAGAGGTTTCCGGGAACATGATTTCGAACGAGGCTCTCTCGGGCCTCCCTGAGGCCGTCTTGGGGACCTCCTGGGCCGGCTTCGGGTCCTCTTGGGCCGTCTTGGGGGGTTCCGTCGGCCCCACAGGAGGACCCTTTCGGGCCGTCTTGGGCCCTCTTGGGTCTCTCTTGGGCCGTCTTGGACGGGGGCGTCCGGGGCACTGTGAAGACGAAGCAAGCGAGTATGCTGAAAACGTACATTCTACGAAAGGGAATGGGCCGATGCTTGCCTCTTGAAGGCCCTCTTGGGGCCCTCTGCGGCCATCTTCAAGCCATCTCGGGCCAAATGGGGCCTCGCTGAGGCTGTCTTATGGGCCTCTCGGGCGTCCTGGGACGCCGGAAATCATGTTCCCGGAGAGGTTTCCGGGAACATGATTTCGATCGAGGCCCTCTTGGGCCTCCCTGAGGCCGTTTTGGGGGCCTCCTGGGCCGGTTTCGGGGTTTCTTGGGCCGTCTCGGGGAGCTCCGTCAACCCCACAGGACGACCCTTTGGGGCCGCCTTGGGCCCTCTTGGGTCTCTCTTGGGCCGTCTTGGGGCTCTTCGGGGGCGTCTGGGGCACTGCGAAGACGAAGCAAGCGAATATGCTGACAACAAACGTCGTACGAGGGGAATGGGCCGCTGTTTGCCTCTTGAAGGCCCTCTTGGGGCCCTCGTCCGTCTTCTTCAAGCCATCTCGGGCCCTCTTGGGGCGGTCTTGGGCGTCTTCGGGGCCTCTTGAGGCTTTCTTGACCATCTGCACGGCCCGCGTGGCCTGTCGCGGGCAATTTGGAAGCGGCCCGGGGCAGCCCCAGGGGGTCTGTGACCCCCCAACGGTCCCGGGGGACGCCCATGGAGGATGGCGGCACCTGCCGGGACCCACCCCCCGGCCTACTCATACATATATATATATATATATATATACTAGAACCATCGCGCGCGCTTCGCGCGCGCTCAGGTTCTAGCCCAGGCCTGGGGGGCGCTGGACGATCTTGGACAACGATATCAAGCACAGGCGCGCGACGGCATCTGAGGAGCTTCTGGGGTGTTCCGCATGCTTCGTCAACTGGCTGTTGGAGGCACCTCTTGGGTGCTTCTTGGGGGGGCGTCTGAGGGTCCCTTGGGGGCATCGGTTCTGCAATCTGAAGCCGTCATTGGCCGTCTTGGCTGCGTGGAAGCCCGACTTGAGGCCACCTGCGGCCAGATTGAGGCAATCCGGAAGCCTCCCGGGGGCCTCCTGGAAGCAGTTTTGACGCATCGAGGGCACTCTTGGGCTATATTAAAGCCTCTTGGACGTCTCCTAGGGGCCTCTTAGGCTCTCGGGAAGCTTTTGGGGTCCTCGTCGGACCACTTGGGGGCTTCTTGCGGCCTCCTGTGGGCCTTTTGGGGGGACCGCTCTGCTGTTGGGTCGCGTTCCCCTTCTTGGGCCTCTCTTGGGGC